TTCCAGAAATGTTTCTTGACAAAAATAAAAAAAAATTCAAGATGGCCGCCAACCTTACAATTTATGAAATGTCTCATTCTGTGATAATATCAAATGGATATTAGTGTTTCCTACAAAATTATCAATAAATAATACTAAATACATCTGATTATGATCTCTTTCTCACATATAAAATATCTGAAATGAGTAAAAAGTAACCTACATAATAATAATGATGTTCCACAAGGGTCATTTCTTGGTGCTATATATATCTTGAATTTATGAATTCTCTTCTTTTACTAAGATTTCATCAAGGATTTCCCGCAATAAATCCTCATCAGTTTCTTCCAATTCCTGTTCAGTTACTGTCTTTGTATGTTGGTTATTGCATTCATTCCCCTTGCAAACACAGAACAATGTACATGATAAAGATGCCTTCGAGCATGAACATCGCCCAGTTCTACATACCTTGCCCTCCGATGCACATGTGCACTTAGTGAGCTTGAGAATTCCTTCAGGGGCACAGGGTGTATCCTTGGGCATTGTTGTTGGGACAAGTGAGCCCGTGCTATTAATTTCCCAACCATAATCTGTTGGAAGGATAAGTGGGGGGTCAGGCATATCAGCATTTTTCCATATAGCTACTTGGAAATGAGCTCGCTTCACATGCTGGGAAAATGCTTCTGTTGTTGGTGGGAGGGATTTTAGCTTTGGTGCATTTGTAATATGTTTTGCAGCATTTTATTTGCCCATACACCATATCTCACATCAGACATTTTGTCTGTGACTTTAGGTGTAATTCCATAACATCTAAATACAAATTCTGTTCAAGTTTTCTCAACTTCAGTCATGTCTGCATTGACATCTCCCAAGTTAGTGAGTGAGTATCTATTTAACACCTTCAGGACTGTTAGCTTGCCAATGTCTCTCTGGCAGTGATACAACATCTTGCGTGCATGGAATTGGCAAGCTAACAGTCCTGAAGGTGTTAAATATATACTCACTCACAAACTTGGGAGATGTCAATGCAGACATGACTGAAGTTGAGAAAACTTCAACAGAATTTGTTTCTAGATGTTATGGAATTACAAGTCACAGACAAAATGTCTGATGTGAGATATGCTGTATGAGCAAAGAAAAATGCTGCAAAACACATTACAAATGCAACAAAGCTAAAATCCCTCCCACCAACAACAGAAGCATTTTTCCAGCATGTGAAGCGAGCTCATTTCCAAGTAGCTATATGGAAAAATGCTGATATGCCTGACCCCCCACTTATCCTTCCAACAGATTATGGTTGGGAAATTAACAGCACAGGCTCAATTGTCCCAACAACAATGCCCAAGGATACACCCTGTGCCCCTGAAGGGATTCTCCAGCTCATTAAGTGCACATGTGCATCAGAGGGCAATGTATGTAGAACTGGGCAATGTTATTGCTCCAAGGCATCTTTATCATGTACATTGTTCTGTGTTTGCAAGGGGAATGAATGCAAAAACCAACATACAAAGACAGTAACTGAACAGGAATTGGAAGAAACTGATGAGGATTTATTGAGGGAAATCCTTGATGAAATCTTAGTAAAAGAAGAGAATTCATAAATTCAAGATATATATAGCACCAAGAAATGACCCTTGTGGAACATCATTATTATTATGTAGGTTACTTTTTACTCATTTCAGATATTTTATATGTGAGAAAGAGATCATAATCAGATGTATTTAGTATTATTTATTGATAATTTTGTAGGAAACACTAATATACATTTGATATTATCACAGAATGAGACATTTCATAAATTGTAAGGTTGGCGGCCATCTTGAATTTTTTTTTATTTTTGTCAAGAAACATTTCTGGAACCTAACATATTGGTATACATCATATTAAAACTCTATTATAGAAAAACAGCAAGATTTGTGTATGTGTATGCTAGTTTTCTGTTCTAATATGCTGGCTAAAATACATAAAACGTGTGAAAATTCAAAATGGCCGCCAAAAAAATTCCTCAAGGGTGCCCGTTGGGCATCCGACAGTTTCTGAATATGGATATCATGTTTAAACAGAAAATGCAAAAAAAGTTCATATAATAAGCATTTCCACCTTCACTTAAAATATGGCACTTCACATCCGGACTATTTGCTATATTGGAACTTTTAATAAATCTTGGCAGGTTATTATTTAATGTCAATTTATAGAGTTCTATATACATTACACTTAGTTTTTTTAGTTTCTAAACGTATCATTCAACTATGCCATAAAGGAGATTGAAGATCCGTCTAAATGTATATTTCCTAAATGTATTTTCATTGCATGTTTTACTGATCTTTAAACTGCTTTTGAATATTTTTAACTTAATGAAAATATATACGGTAACAAAATTAATTAAATACACGCTGTGTTTTGAACTTTTTTTTGTAAAATTGTCCTTCCCTGCCGTGGGAAGCCACGCCTTCTCCATCCCCACCTCCGGGACGCTAAGCAAACTGTATACGTCATTCTCATAAAGTTTAATTGATTTATCTTTCTAGAGTATTGGATTCCGTATTATTTGATTTCGGTGTAATAATGGGTTTTCGAGTATTGGGGTTCAAACAAGGGCAGCAATACTTCATATTATATTATGTTGAGGACGGGGGTTCGTCCAGATGAAACACACAATGGAAGATCATACCGCCGTATTCTGCATATGTGCTTGAATTCTGCTCCAAGTCAAATAAACGAATGCGTTCATAGCGTACTAATTGTACTTATATACTGTATACGTAAATCATGAAATTAACGGGCATATCAGGAGTTCTACGATTGTTCACCGTATTTAGCTATACGCCTATTTTTGTTATCATCCCACTGGCGGATCCAGATCCATCTTGCGCCCCCCCCCTTTTTTGTAGGAGCCCAAAAATCGTTTTGCTCGAAAGTTACATATGGCCTCAAAAATGATTCTCTTTGGGCATGATTTGGCATTTTAGGCCAAATTTTCAAAAATGGGGTTTAAATTTTCATCTGGATCCGCCAGTGTTGTCAAAGTTGTTAAATTCAAAAAGGCCAAATAATTGCGATATTGAATGTGCAACTTATCACAGTACACCTCTCCCGACGAGTGACACGTGTTGTTAAAAACTATCCAATCCTACACATAGAACGCATGCATAATACAAAAAAATGCTGGGATCGAAATTGTATCGTAGTGTAAGCCAATTTACTGACTGAATTACTCAGTTGGAGTAACAATTCCCGGGGAAACTTTCCCGGGAACAGATAACTATTCCCTCTATTGACTAAACTAGGTACTATAGTTCACTCCACCTTTTGAAAATAACTAACTCATATATATATATTTATATATATATATATTTGCCGCAGAAATTAACTGATTTCAGGAAAATACGGTTGATGTGTGGTCACCAGAGCACATGTGACTAAAGCTTTAAAATTCCAATATTTTGGGCAAAAAACAAAAGTGTGCTTTGAGGCCTAGTAGGTCATGCATGTATGTAGTTTAGTAGGTTGTTCTTATGAGACCGTGTGTGTATTGGTATATACCTAGATACCTAAATAATGATTATTATAGTCATTTAAAAATATATTTGGTCATATCTGTTTTATAAATAAAAAACAAAACCCTTACAAAGAATAGGTCTGGAATCTAAGGCAGGACAAATAAGTCCTGGGGACGGTCCTGTCCCCAGGGTCCTGTCCAATAGAGGAGTTTCTAAATGATTTTGAAATCTCGCTAATTCTCGTTTTTTCATGAGATTTTAAGAGATTTGCACATTTTACCTCCAATGACTTACTTTTCTTTCTTTTTAATAGCATATTTGAATTCAGTGATATGTTTCCTACAATAATAGCTTTGATTTACACATTTATGTCATTCAAATCATTCTCCATGATATTTTAAAAAACTTGGAAGATGAACAAAGGTGACATCTATTATGTCAGCTTTATTCAGCTTTATTTAGCTATTTAGAAACTACAGGTATACTATTTATTTGCCATTCGGTTCAACCATTTAAAGTAATTTAAAATCTAACTTAAAATCTTTCTTCGAATACTTGTATTCAAAGATAAACATCAACGCAAAGAATATTAAAACACAAATCGGACACATATTTTTTTCGATGAGATAGCCAGAACTACCATGTACTTGTACACATGTTACTTTAATATGACTAGCCAATTAAATTATTACTCAGATTGCATTCTTTTATTATGTTTTATTGAAATAGTTTGAATTTGCATGATGGAATTAGCATGTGTTCACATTTAACGCTAGACCAAATTAAAGTTAAATGTCACGAATACCCAATTATTCAGTAAATAAATGTAACTTGCTTTCCATATAAACAATCTAGTATAGGTAAAAAAAATCATAAAAAATTCTGAGATTTTGATATTGATTTGAAATCGTTCATTATTATTATGTGTTCAGCTCAGTTTTATTCCGTTACAAAATGTAACAGTCTATGAACGAATATAAATATGGTATTGGTAAATATGTATTACATATATTAGTCCATTTCAAATGATTGTTTCGTTTTGGAATGGCAACAACTCAGCATTTTAATTTTGGTTCAAAAGTTGTGCCACAAAACTTTTAAAATGCTGAGGCATCAATCTGGCATCGATGTCTTAACAATGTCGTAAGGAACCCCACGGTTGAAATAGCAGCTCCGTGGTCCAGTTCATATGCAAAACCTGGGGCTTAATAACAACTGAGGGAATAATGATAGAAAAAAACTAAATTGAATTGAAATATGTATCTTAATTCTAACTTTTAATCAATTTTAGGTGACAAAACTTGGCATTCCCTTTAATGGTGAAGGATGACTATTTCTAAAACCTATCTGGCAAGTAGGATCCAACACAAATGCTTTGTTTGAAGTATGGGACCTTTTTTAAAGATCCAAAGGTCTATTTATTTGACAGAAGAATGAAGGTAACTTTAAAGATAAGTGAAACACTAATAATGTTATAACAAGTGTGTCAAGACAAACTAAAGCAGTAGATGGGGCCAATACCTGGTTGCATATGTCTACAGCTAGCTCCATAATATTCTCTTTCATAGTTGAGAACTCACGACTGGCACCCCCAGAGAACTTGCTTCTACTACCAAACTCCTCAAACTCTTGTACTAGAAGAAAGTATGAGCTCCGCATCTGGCTCTAGAATCATATATTAATCAATAAATGTACAGCAATATGGTTATAAACCTTCAACATCCAGTGCCCAATGGTAGAATATTGACCATTTAGACAAATGTTTTTAGCATACATGTGAACTAATAATATATCATCATTTATATATAAAATATATAAAGATGAGGTTCAGGATATTGGGATTATCCCGAGGGCAATATAATATATCTGCCCCAGGGCCGTAGGTCCCAAGGGTAGATATATTATATTGGCCAAGGGATAATCCAAATATCCTGAACCGACTATAGGATGATCTGTTTATCCCATACCAATCACATTGTTCAACTGGCCACAGTTCAGAAACTTTGCAACCAACCGTGGAATTATCTTAAATTTTCATGTCCAGTTTTGTATTATTGTACGTACCCGGATTTTCCTGTTCAAATCTTTGATTATTAACCGGGAATACTGCTCCTTCCCTTCTTTAAAGCATCAAACAGATCGTGATTGTCGCGTTTTTCTCCATTGTCGTTTACAGTATGTGAAGGTTTCAAAAAAGAACCAATACGGGAACAGCTATTATGACGTAGCGGGCAGATATACTATATCTGCCCGCTCGGAGCAGGATGTAAAGCTATATCTGCCCGCTAATGAAAATATAGGTTTTTACAAACCAGCTTTATGTACCAGTAACACAACCAAGTATGGGATAAACTAGTTTATCCAATGGATACTAAATTTATATGGGGATTTCAACACAAGATAATTTTGGTAAGTGCCACTAAAAAATTTAAAAAATGTATCCGATCCATAGGACGTGGAATTAACATGAATGTCTGTATTTCACTCTGCTAGCGCATTGTGAAATACAGCCCTTCTCGGGAAGAATACTTTCTGTATTTCACTCGAATCATTGAATAACTTACAATTATTTTTAAATTATTTTGAAAAAAATTGTGGAATTCTTTTTTAAAACATTGAAAAAAAAATTGAGAAAAATATTTGAAAAAAAAATTAGAAAATTACATCAGAAATTTTTTTTAAAAAATTGAAAAAAATTGAAAAAGAATTTTGAAAATATTGTGATAACCCAATTGTCTGTTTGACAATATAGTTCCAAGGTTATGTGCTCAGTAGAAATAAGTTACATTTTTTTGTACATCATATTGTAAAAATAAGTTCACAGAAAATAAAATGAAAAAACTTAAAAAAGAATTAGAAAATGATTTTAAGTCAAATTATTGTAAGTCCATACACAGAATGCGACCAAAGGATAATTATGATATCCTATGATTTTCTTGGCTATCATTTTTATCCACTCTTCACTGCGCTCACTCGTGGAGATTGGCGATATCCACTCATGGATAAAAATGGTATCCCTCAAAAATAATAGGATATCCTCTATTTATCACATATTCAGTAGTGTAACAGGTGTATAACAGGTATATATGTGGGAATACAACTGATATCAGAGGTGAGCGGGTGATATTCATATTTCACACTGAGGTTAGGGGATATATACATGTTTATCCCACGATTAATGTGTTATCTGTACAATAACAGCTATTGATTTTTCTGATATTATTGAAATCTGTGTGATCTTTTCCAGAAAACCATTTACCAAACTCATATGCGTGTGATATCGTTTATCTCACGCATATCCGTGTGATATCACATTTGCATTTCACGCCACAATATTGTTGGAAATTAGGTCAGATAATTTATTCTCTTTTGAGAAAATAGGTCCGTTAATTTATTCTCTTAAAGTTTCATTGGTGCATCGAATTACGATTGTGTATATAATTTGATTAGAAGGCTGCTAAATAACAAAATTAAAAATGGTATTTATGACGAACTATATCGGGTACAGAAAGTAGTGCATATTACTGCGCAGTGAGTAAAGTACAAATCAAAATGGCCGGTGCAAATTCGTCTGTCCTGTGTAATACGTCCAAGTATGAGATAAAATTGATTATCAAACATGGCTTAGTTTATAAAACCTAATGAATTAAAATTCTAAAATGACTGTTGGTTCCAAACTATGGGAGCATGATATCAGCATCATACATATTTGCAAGCAACATCCACATAGGGTGAGGGGTGCTTTCTTGTGGAAAGTTGCAACAGTGGCTCCTTCCATTTGTAAACCCACTCATAATTCTGAAGGGCAAGACATTCATTCTTCAAGTTAAAATGCTAAATCAGCTTTACCCTCCACTTGTCCCAATCTCCAGCTATGGCTCCAGTATCTTCTGTCCTAGCCCCAGCAGGGTGGTGCAGCACCATCTGCAGACGCAGGAACTCTATCAATTCCTGTTTCAGCATTGGGGAAGGATGCTCTTTCCATAGGTACAGCACTGAAACTCCTGCAGACATTTAAAGAATATCCTCCAAAAACAATGGCGTAGCCAGGAGTTGGTGACTGGGGGTTCTATTTTTATGTTATTCACAAATCCCCCCCCCCTTCATTAGGGTTCCTCAAATAATGCAATTTGTACAATTACATCCCCTCCAAAAGTTTGGCAATCCTGACTAACCCATTGGATTATGTATTAAAGCATCTTTAAGTTTGAATTCTTATTTGTAAAGAAATAGTTTGGGAGGGGAAATATAATTCATTTTCATACCTGATCATTAAAGCAGATATGAAATGGTATTTTTAACCTAAAGGAATAATTTGTTGATAAATGTATTTGGACATGTTTTCTCATCAGTAGTGTGAAAATCGTTTCACTCTAACGATCGTTATGAGCTGCTTGATAAGCAATATTCGAATTGGTTGTGACGTTATTGGCCCCCACGTGATCCCTCACTGAGGGGTCATTCATCAAGCTATCGCAAGCACGTCGCAAGACTGCGATGTCGCAAGGGCCCTTTGTAGCGATTACGTCCTATTCATCAATCTCGTGCGACTGCGATCAGTAGAATTTTCTGCGACGTCGCAATGAAATACTCCTAAAATGACCCAAATTTAAGCGACCGGTGGTACCCAGTCGCAGTGATTTTAGTTCTAGAAAAATGTCTTAAATTAATTGAATTTCTTTATGAAATTATATAGAAATTCTAGAACGTATAGTACGATATTCGATCCATGATATATTAAAATTGCAGATCATATGCATTATGTTTAATATGTTTTTGATGCCATCAAAAACAGCTAGTTTTCGGTTTGTATTTTTAAGTACTTCACCATGCGACCGGTCGCAGTGATTGTGCGTTACACGTGGTTTGAACCCACGTGGCTGTACCCACTCATATTGTCAATCTTGCATGACATGCTGGCAGTCACTGCGACCTCGCACGGTGGTCGCAGTGTCTGCGACGTCGCAGTGATTGCGATAGCTTGGTGAATGACCCCTCTGGTCCCCACGTGGCCCATTTTGGTCCATTAGATCATGACGTCATAATGCCAAAATGTTTTGTTGTTTGCTTAGACAACAATCCTATGGTTGCCATGATGTCGTGATTACCAAGGAACCAATAAACCCAAGCTATATTTTGTATATGACGTTACTAATCACGTGGGGGCCAATTTAATTTATCAGTTAGTTTTATTTCGTTATCTATGACCGTTAGCAGTTACCTAACATTTATTTTATAATGGCTATCGCAAGAACTCTAAATTGGGCTTACAATTGGGAAAACTGCATTTTTGTAGCTGCAAGTTGAGAAAACCTATTTCAGTTGTCCTTTAAGTAGACAATTGAATTTGAATTTTATTTAATAAAAATGATACCTTTATTTACGTCAAGCAAAGTCTGAAAGATTAGGCTTCATCAAGAAACCTCTCCCATTGAAATAACACAGGACGTTAAAATGATTTTTAAAAATGACCTTGTAGCTTTATAACTTTAATGTTCACAAGTAAAATAAACAGGCAACGTGCAAAAATGTCAGACAACTTATAATTGATTTTCTGCATCAAAATATATTTCGGTGAATCTTTTACTGAATACATATCCTGAAATCTGATTTGCCCCGAATCCACCATTATTTCGTCTGATTTCTAGAAGACCCTGGAGCATGATTTGTTTCTAGGGAATATCAACTAATACGCACAATTTATTCTTTAACTTAAGCTACTTCATCTAGGACAAAATAAATCACCTCATGCAATGGCTTATCATTATTTTTCAGGAATTTTGTTGGAAGCCAGTTCGGATCAAATGCAAGGTTATTGAAATTGCCGCAAACACCCTATACTCCGAAAGATCGTTCTTCTACGATAACTTTTCACAACGTTCACACGAAGGCTTTTTAAACTATCCGGGATAGTCATATTACTGATGAAAATATCTATTATTCAAATAAGTGGGTCTCAGTTATGCTTTGTTTTAAACGTCCCCGGAGCTCAGTGGTAAGTCCTCCAGAGCAGATCAACTGCAACTGATAAAAAAAACGTTTTGGTAATCATATATAAATACAAGCGACTGTTCGAATATAAAACATATTTTGTTAAAGCAGATATGAAATGGTATTTCTAAACCTAAAGGAATCAATATAATTTTTTGATAAATGTATTTGGACATGTTTTCTCATCAGTAGTGTGAAAATTATTGCACTCTAACGATCGTTATAGCTGCTTAATAAGCAATATTCGAATTGGTTGTGACGTTATTGGCCCCCACGTGATCTCTCACTGGTCCCGTCGTGGCCCGTTTTGGTCCATTAGATCATGATGTCATAATGCCAAAAATGTTTAGACAACAATCCTATGGTTGCCGCGACTGTGTGATTACTAAGAAACCAATAAACCAAAGCTATATTTTGTATGACGTTACTAATCACGTGGGGGCCAATTTGATTGATCAGTTAGTTTTTATTTCGTTATCTATGACCGTTAGCAGGTATCTAACATTTATCTTATAATGGCCATCGCAAGAACTCTACGTTGGGATTACAATGGAGAAAACTGCATTTTTGTAGCTACAAGTTGAGAAAAGCTATTTCAGTTGTCCTTTAAGTTCAGATGGCTTGATAACAAATTAGGCCTTCATTATTTGAAGATTAATACCATATGATTTTTCAATGTTTTTTATTCCCCTTTAACATGAAAATGGAGAGCAAGTAAACTGGAACGATAACAATTTGAATTCTATACAATCTCTTAGATGAGTGGAGTGTATCTGAAAAAACAAAATCATTTTTTGCAATGATTGATTTTTCATTGGAAAAGTGATGGGTAAATAAATACTGAACAAATGAAAGAATGAATAATTTTGAACATATGCTTGTGTTTATAAATGATATACGCTTTAAAATAATTCATTTCACAACGTTTTTAATTATTTAACGCAATTGGTTTCGGGGACTTGCCAGCCCCAGGGACGTCCCAAGAAATATTTTAAATTTTAATTGAAATAAAACAAAACAGAGATGTAAGGGAACATGGGGCAAAACTGCCCTGTTGAGCAAAATGGCCCATCGAAATATCTTTTGAACTATAAAAAGATAGTTCTTCAAAAGTCACATAATCGAATTTTGAAATTTCCGCCACCTTTTCGACCGCCCATTTTTAACCTAGCAGCTTCTCGCTATACATAAGAGGTAATTCTACTTTTCACTCTCTTTTTTGCAAATTACTCCTCCCACGAGAATCTCTAAAAGATCCGGCAACAATACAATATCTTTTTGATTTAACATTTTACATAGGGTATGCATATTTATTCTTTATTTGTAAACATTCAAATATTGGGCAAATTAAAATGACGTCTATTTGAAAATTCACATGTTTTTGGGGCAAAACGGTCCACAAAGGTTATAACATACAAAAATCGTAATACAGAACAATTGATTTTCAAATATAACAATTCTAACATTTGGTTTGAACCTTACTTCCTTCCGACACATATCTAATGACTAGAATTATGGTAGGAGTTAAGAATACTTTATCTGTCAAAGGTTTGAACGTCTGAGAAAAGATGTGTGTGTTGACGAGTCCTGTAATTGATTAATTTTGGTTTTAAAACCCATGTTACAGAGGGTGGGCCGTTTTGCCCCACCCATGGGCCGTTTTGCCCCACTCTCGACATTATTTTTGGCAATTGAAAAATCACACAAGATAGTCTTAGGCAAATATAAAACACTCGAAAAATACATTTTTAGGGCCGTTTTGCCCCATGTTCCCTTACACATTTGAAAGAACATGTGTTTCATCAATATTACGACTATTCCAGATATTTATTCGTCAATGTTGTAAAAATCATTCGGAGTATGGGACGTCTGCATTGTTTTCAATAACTTCCTATTGGATCAGAACTGGCTTAAAACAAAATTCCTACTAAGGACTGATTTAGCCATTGCCCAAGATGGGTTATTTTGTCCGAGAAAAAGCAGCTTTTAAGTTAATTGTGCGAAATTATTGATATTTCTAAATGTAAAATCTCATGCTCTGGGGTCTTCCCAAAATTAAATCTCACCCCGTGCCTAAGGTTGCCAAACGTTTTGAGGGAAGTGTATCTTCACTATGACATGTTTTTTATGTTCACCATAACAAATATCAATTCATTTACTGCTCATATAATTTATGTAGTTTTCAAATAGCACAGTAGTTTAATGTTCCTGGTTTTATGCATTTTTCCGCAAAATTATATTTTGGGAAATCCTGATCAGGGGTTCATTCGAACCCCCGCTGCCTACGGCTATGAAAAAGATTATTCATGTCCAGATAAATGACCTTTATAATGAGAGCATGTTTGTACATTTTGATGCAAATTAAAGTCATTTGAGTTACATGGTGCGATATCCAAACCGCATGCATACTATGCACGCAATTTGAAACCCTGACAAACTGCGCGCATGAAAAGGTATTAACACAGATATGTTTTATCTCTTCACACATGTGAAACAACGCAGTCTTTAATCATATATCATATCATGGGCTTTCAACTAGCTAATTGAAACCCCATGATCATATATATCCAATGCAAAATGCATGTTAACCCAAGATAAGAAATTTGATGACGAGAAATGGCTACATGTAAAACACTGTAAAATTGACAATGATATTGGTCCAATGGTATTTGAATTATTGCCAGGACAGATGGATGGACAGATATACAGAAGGGCTGACGGACGGATGGAGGGACAGAGCCATTCACTAGCAGAGGCCCTATGCCAATACAGCATACACCTATTAAATTTGAACTAAATCCATCAATAGTTATTCAAGTTATTGGTCAGACACACCCACGAGCCAACAAATGATTGGACAACGGATGGCTTATGTAATGAGATACTGGACTTTGTTAGATGGGACAATGCTTCATATATAGCCTCACATTGGGCAATCATAGAGCTTGCTAACTTGCGGAATGTTGGAAATAATGAAAGTGCACCTATGTTTTCTCCAAGATGACATAACTGTATCCTACTGTTGACAGCTACAGCTCTTGACATAGTGTTGACAGCCCTCATCATGTACTCTCTTAATGCCAGTGTCTTCTCTTGTCTACAAAAATACTTAACTTATCAGATATGTCAGCGTGCAGTTATGGTTCTTCCATTATAATCAATAAAGGTCCAGATTGATTAGTGACTATCTTCATAACTACTAGTATATAATAACTAGAAAACAGCAAATCCACAGAGTAGAAAATCGCACCGAACGAAAAATGTTTTGATAATTAATAGTGGCCATCTTAAAAATTTCAGCTCCCTTGTAACGAGGTATCAGCATAGAAATTTTGAACCAATTCCATCAAGTCATATTTGAGTTTTCAAAGATTACGTTTTTTTACGAAAAAATGGCAGCCATTTTGATATTCAGATGACATCTTGGAAATTTCTTCTTGAGCAGTGCTCCTTTGTCCCTTGTAATCAGCATACAAAATTTGAGCCAAATCCTTCAGCTGGTATTTGGGTTATCAAAGATTACATTTGTAATGACAAATGGCGACCATTTTGATAAATAGCTGCCATCTTGAAAATTTCTTCCCAAGTAGAGTTATTGTATCTCTAGGCATCAGCATATAAAATTCTAACCAAATCCATCCACTGGTATTTGAGTTATCAAAGATTACATTTTTTAGGAAAAATGCCAGCCATTTTTTACGAAAGATGGCCGCCATTTTCAAAATCAGTGGCCTTCTTGAAAATATTTTCTTCAGCAAAGCTCCTTTGTCGTTAGGAATCAGCATCCAAAATTTGAAACAAATCCGTCAACTTGTATTTGAGCTATCAAAGATTAAATTTTCTACAAAAAATGGTGGCCATTTTGAATTGAGCAGCCATATTGAAAATTCCTTCCCGAGTAGAGGTCCTACACCCATAAGGCATAAGCCTAAAAAATTTCAACTAAATCTGTCAATCAGTATTTGATTTATCGTCTGGACAGAGGGACAAACTGACAGATGGCTTTTCTTTATCCCTCACAAACTTTGTTCGGTGGGATAATAATACATATACTGTTGTAGCGAAAATAAATTACAGTTTTAGCATTGATGAAACTAGCTCAAATGTGGTAATATCCTAGCCTTCATTCACTGCAATCCGTGCCTCTTTTACCTTAACTCATGCAGATCTTTAAATTCCTGCGATAAAACTATTCTCGGTTTGGAGAACAAAGTTCATCACTCTAATTGAGCGTTACCCCTGCTTCTGACAAACTTGATTTTTCTTACATAATATAGATTTGAATGTCTTCTTTTGAATTAAACTACATGTAATGGCAAAATGTTAATGTCCTTGCCTTCTTAGCACCTTAGCATGCATACAACTGTTACTGTATATTGTATATTGTCTTTCTTACAATAATTGTCTTTTCTTATGGGTACTGAATATATATAAAACAATCATACTTTATTTATTTCTATCATTCATTACATATAAAACAACTTTACCAAGTGAAAAGGTTTAATAATTATATATATTTATTGATTTCGTTTCATAGTCCTAGTTCGCTATAGCGAGTTAGCGTGTCGCTATAACGATAAGTGAATGTTCTTAACGGAAAATAAAAATTCTGAAAATTATTGGAATATGAGAAGGTAGGTCCGAAAGTCCGTTTCCGAAGGCAAAATCGGACGGTTCGGACAATAATTCTGTTCCGTGCCAGCCCTACTAAAAACACATTAATTGCCAATTTCTATGGTAAAATGCGTGTAAATGTTATCATTTATGTTGTATTAAAGATTTGGAGTTGTTGATTCAATATTACAGACCAGACTAATTTCTCCAGGTTTTGGAGATCATGCCCCTGGAATTGTAGAATTGATTAAACATTGTCAGAGAGGTAGTGAAGGTACGCAACGAATGAAATGAATTTTGAGAATGCAAATGTGGAATGAAACTAACTGTATCAAAAGAATACACTGTAAATCTCCATCATCAATGGTAACAACATGTTTAAATAAATAAGTCCATCCCTACTCTACCGTGCCTATAATGTACAAGTGCCCTCACTTAATGTTTTTGAAGACTTCTACAAAAAACTTGATGGCTCGTCTAGGACGTAGGTCACATTGCTGAGAAGCACCCTCTGTGAGATGGTAGAGAATGCGGGTGATCATCAACTTATCAAATCTTGGAGGGGGATCACTGTAGGCAGCATAGAAAAACTTTGCAAGCTCTAAAAGTAAGAGAAATAGTCAGGTTGCCTCGTTCCCATTAACAGGTTTAATTAAATATTTAGAAGATAGCTTGGTGAGGTGTGGTTTTTTGGGCAACATAAAGGGGCAGTCAAGGAAATAATGGGTGTCTCTCATTTGAAGCTACTAGAGGAACAATTTGTAAAGAACTATGAGGTTATAAGAAAAATATTGACAATTTAAAGAAGCTGAAACCAATTCAGAATCTAGGATATAATATAAAGGTGTCTCTTGTTTGAAGCAAACTTTTAAAGAACTATAAGCCAATTTTGCTTTCTTTGAAATGTTATTCATATGAAGATGCAAGCTCATATTTGATTGTATTCTGAGACCTAAATGGGCATGGTGATTGGTGGTTTGGATTACAGAATTATTCAAATTTATTCTGTTTAAGTGAAATTATCAAAAGTTTTGACTCAGCAGCATTAACATTTACTTTCAATCTTTCTGCCCATTGTTCTATTTGGTCTTGAGGATATTGCATTTTGATTGGACTAAGAATTTGAGTTGACCAGTATCATCTGCAAAAAGGTCTATATCAGTTTCTTTATCTAATGTCATTGATGTGGGGACACCCCTTTCTATGTAGCGCCTATCAGAATGAATGCTATTTATGAAGACTGTTTTCTGTCAATATGATAGCTTTATACTTTTCTGACCCTCTTCCCTATTGTACATTTTTTTCTTACTTGGCCATTGTTCTCTGGTTATATCATTCCAATATTTCCGAACTGAGAGGATATCTCTCAATAAGACAGAGCTGTAGTCTGCTCCATATAGTTCACGTTGGAAGTCATCACTGAAGCCCTTCAACAGGTGATCTACTATTGATGCACATTTCAGCCTAACCACTCCTATAGTCAAAAAAACAAATGTGTGTGAACTGTAGAACACTTGGAAATGTGATTTTCAGCATTTGAAATAGCAAAATCACATATCTTAATAACATTATTAAATAATTCATAACACAATTAAAACAATTTTAGAACTGGCGAACCATTTTGAAGCAAAACTTGTACTACCATATAATTAAAAAAATACTAGATAGCAGTAACTCCACAGACTAAATATCCCAGCAAACAAAACATGTTTTGAAAAATAGTTCCCCTCTTGAATATTTCATCTTTGCAACTCCATGAGGTATCAGCATATCAAATTTGAACCAAATCCATCCACTGGTATTTGAGTTATCAAAGATTATCTTGAGTAGACCTCCTGAGCACCAGAATAGAAAATTTGAATCCATTCACTGGTGTTTGATTTATTAAAAAAAAAATTTTTCAACAAAACATGGTGGCCATTTTGAAATTCAGCTATTATCTTGAAAATTTTCTCTTGAGGGGGGTTCATTTGTCCCTGGGCATCAGCATATACAATTTGAACCAAATACATAATCTGATATTTGAGTTTTCAAAGATTAAGTATTTTTAAAAAAATGGCAGCCATTTTGAAATTTTAATGCTATCTTGAAATTTCTCTCTTAAGCAGAGCTTGTTTGTCCCTATGCATCAACATATAAAAGGTACAGTCTTATTGGGATCCCTTTAAGGACTTAGAAAATTTCAAGAAAACGCAATTATAGATTTTTGAAACAAAAGAATCAAAATATTCTTGACTGATATGTGTATTTTCATTTTCTTGAAAAATATAGTGAATATTTTTGTAAAAAATATGATTTCTGGCCCATTTCTGTAACCACTCCCATCATGGCAGTTCATTTGTGAAATTTAGTGTTTTTTAGAAAATGTAGTAAATAAAGCCTTAAAAACAATTTTCAAGTAGTATTTAAGTGAATTATGCATAATGTAATCCCTACTGAAATGTATCTAGCAGATTTATGTGTGATGATGCATGATATGTGGCATAAAAAGGGATTATAATCCAGACCCCCATTATTTACCCGTCTCAATTGAACATGAACCATGGTTCATTGAATGGACAAATTCACTGTGAGCTGTGTTCACCACTTTTGTTTTTAGCTGTACATATCCAATATTGAATTAGGCAACATTTTCAGTTGCAAAAAGTGGTGGAGAACATAGCTCATATAGTTTTTTGGACTTCTTTGGTATTTTTTCTAAATAATTTCTGCCACTTTTTTGGATACAATGCCACCTATCAATCAAAAAACGTAATTAATTTCATTAGGGGGAGGGGGTCAAACACTGATTTCATTAGGTGACGGACATCGATTTTCGTTTTCCTTTGGAATTTCAATTTTCAAGATTTTTGATTTTGTTACAAGGGGGAGGGGGGGGGTTAAGACCTAATGAAATTAATTACGTTTTTTGATGAATATCGATATTTTGACCCGACCCCTAAGAAACTGTACATTCAACTTTCAGCAACTGTACCTATTGATACCAATAGAAATTCAATAAATACTAATATGTTGTATGAAAGCTTTAGAATATTAATATCAAATGTATTACAATACAATATTTTGACAGTATGTATTTTGACATAAAAATTTTCAAAGGCTGTTAAGATACCTTTTCCCCAAGGAAATCAATGTAAAGTCAGGTTTAACTCATGATTTGATTTTATTTAGGTATGTTTAAGGAAATTACTTGATCATAAGATTGGTTTTACCAACTTGACCTTTTTGCACCCAGTGACCTCATTGGCACATCATTTGACCTAATTTTGAAATATTATTGTGAAGTACATTTGTGAGGATACTCTAAATGCAAAATAAGTTTGATTTGATGGGGACAGAAAAGGGGGTCTATTGGGACGGTTCCTTTGAACCATATATCCATCTACTGGTATTTAAGCTACCAAAAATCATGTTTTTCATGAAAAATGGTGGCTATTTTGAAATTCAACAACCACCTCAAAGATTCTTTCTCAAACAGAGCTACTGTGTCCCTAGGCATCAGTATATAAAATTTGAACCAAATACATTCTTTGGTATTTGAGTTATTAATGATTACATTTTAAGGAAAAATGGTGGCTACTTTGAAAGGAGTGGTATCGATATTATGGTGAACTTTTTGAACAGGCATTTCTCTTAAACCGGTCATCAAAACATTCTGAAAATTTTACACATCGTCAATGTAATGGTCATCTTTTGGATGGTAACATTATAATTTGAAATATATTTATATACTTTTCTCCATATTGTTTTAAAAAAAATAATAAGACACTTCTTTTGTTCTTGGTATCATATCACTGCTACCCACCTAGTTACACAGACGTATCGTCAGTGTATCATGGCGGAACTACTTCCGGGACTAGGTTTTGGTAAGATTTTTTTATTTCCCGATTTACACCTACTTATAAGTCACGTTGTGGATAATAATTTGGCTCGAAGTTAAGGAAGATAGTCTAGTTTGAGAATGTGTCGATGGTTTTAGGTTTTATATGTTAACGAAGACACAATTCACGTATTTAGTCCCTCGCTTTTGTTACACTGACGAACGACCAATATCAGTGTAATATTGGCAATATTAATGCCGATCGTCAGTGTAACAAAAGTGAGGGACTAAATATGTGAAATGCGTCTTCGTTAACATACCAAACCTAAAACCATCGACACATTCTCAAACTAGACTATCTCCCATAACTTCGAGCCAAATTATAATCCACATCGTGACTTATAAGTAGATGTAAATGGAGAAATAAAAATATCTTACCAAATTCAAATCCCGGAAGTAGTTCAGCCATGATACACTGACGATACGTCTGTGTAACTAGGTGGGTAGCAGTGCATATGTTCGGAATGAAATGAAACATCAATGCAAACCTCATTGGAGCAAAACGACATAAACACGACGTGTTTAGGTCTCTCAATATTGTAATTGTACAAAGGAAATAATTTTCATCTATTTTGGGGGGTTTTGTTTTAAGTTTGTGCATACTTTTAGTAAAATCAACCAAAATTTCCTTTGTATAACTATATTTATTTCATTCTCAAGAATTGGTAGAAAGGAACAAAAACAATTGCATTAAAAAACAAAAAATGTTAATAAAAACAGTTATATGTAAATAATTTTTGCATTAAATTGTTGCCAATTGGTCAACATTACATAAAGGACCGTGTTTTTTTACAGAATGTTTTCAATAATTGGTTTAAGAATTACCATATCGATACCTATCCTTTTGCTGCCATCTTCAAAATTCTTTCTCGTACAGAGCTAAAATGTCTCTAGGCATCAGCGTATAAAATTTGAATCAAATCAGTTCACTGGTATTTGAGTTATCAGAGACTATGCTTTTTTACAAAAAATAATGGCCATTTTGAAATCCAGTAGATATCTTAAAATCCTATCTTGAGCAAAGCTCCTTTGTCCTTACTTGTAGGCATCAGCACACAAAATTTGAACCAAATTAGTATATTACAGGCCCGTAGCCAGGATTTGCCAAGGGGGGGTTCATTTTTCAAAGATTTCCAGGGGGGGTTCACATTTGACAATTTTAGCCCAAATATGGCTAAAATCACTTGAGAAGAACTCAAAATGGTGAAAAATTGCATGATTTTGAAAGAATTTTTGGCCAGGGGGGGTTCGTCCGAACCCTGCGAACCCCCCCCCCCCCCTGGCTACGGGCCTGTGAGTTATCAAAGGTGACATTTTTTTACAAAATAATGGCCATTTTTAAATAAAATTCCTTCTCAAGCAGAGGTCCTACACTCATAAAGAATAAGCCTACAAAATTTGAATTAAATCTGTTGACTGGTATTTATGTTGTCACCACGAGACACGAATGGACAAACAAACAAAAGGACAGCTTTTCTATATCCCAACTTTGTTTGGTGGAACAATAAAGAAAACAGGCAAAAGCAATAATCTACAGATTTTCAATACGAAGAATACAGGCAAAAGCAATAGACTCCAGATTTTCAATAAGAACAATACAGGCAAAAGCAATAGACTCCAGTACACTACATGTACAGTTTTTCAATCTAGAGTCTAATTATGATAATAAAGAAAAGAAGCAATAAGCATTAACATGACAAAATGTCACCACCCAATATTATAAGCTCTATCTTAAGTCAGATTTGAATTTCTGAGAACTTGTATTTTGAAAAATAAATTTGACGCAAGTTGAAAAAAGACCTTTTTGACCTTGAGAAGGTCATTGAAGGTCAAATAAATACCTTTTTTGACCCTTAGAAGATCACTAAAGGAGAAATCTCAAATCTAAAGTCAGATTTGAACTTTTGAGAACTTGTAGATAATTTTTAAAAAAAATGGTCAATTTGTAGCAAGTTGAAAAAAGACCTTTTTGACCTTGAGAAGGTCATTGAAGGTCAAATAGTTTTTTGACCTTGAGAATGTCATTAAAGGTCAAATCTATAGTCAGATTTGAACTTTTGAGAACTTCTAGTTCATTTTGAAAAAAGAAATTGGCCAATTTGAAGCAAGTTGAAAAAAGACCTTTTTGACATTTAAAAGGACAATGAAGGTTAAATCTCAAATCAAAAGTCAGATTTGAACTTCTGATAACTTGTACATGATTTTGAAAAAAAAGTTGGTCAATTTGTAGCAAGTTAAAAAAATACAATTTTTAAACTTGAAAATGTCACTGTAGGTCAAATCTTAAATATAAAGTCAGATTTGAACTTCTGAAAACTTGTAGATGATTTTGAAAAAACTGAAGCCAGCCTAACCAGTACTTTTTGAGTTATTGGAAGTTTTAAGAATTTGTTACAGATGCCAACCGCCACCCATCTATTGCTGATCGCCAACCACCAACCACCGTCCCAAAAAACGGAGACCATTATCAATATGTCACCACTTTTTGGTGGTGACATAAAAACAATACACTCCAGATAATATAAATATATCTTACCTTTGTTAGCAAGTTTAACAACAAGTTTGAAGAGGGTCATTATAGCAAGTCGTTTTGCATTCCTGGTTTCTTCTGTTTTTGCTTTGCTATTCTGTATTGTATTTGCCTCTTGTAGCACCAGCCATTTAACACACTATAAAAGCAAAGTAGTGCAGTATTGTCTTAAGAAACACTTGCTACATTGGATATAAGTCAAAGACCTGCAAATTTAAAATAGTAAAAATTGGAGTAGATCTTTTTCTAATTGCTGTACTTTTGCAGAAATTTTATTTAATCTGGTTTTTTAGAAATTTTTAAAAAAGTAGCAAACCTTCCTTATCACATTTCATTCACCCAAACCATGGTTCTCACCGTACACATCAATATTGATTTTTTGGTGTACTCATGCATCAAGTTCCCAGTACTACGTAATAATAAATACCAATACAATTCTATCAGCTATGTGGTTTGCAATGTGGGAACTTGATGTACGAGTGGAGAAATATGTTAGGGAGAGAAGAACTGGTGATTCACAACTATAGAATCAAAATTTACATTGTGAGAACTGAGGTTTGGTTGGAAGGAACGTGGTCAGCGAGGTCGAAACTGATGATCCCATGAGTGGAACTCTAGGACACCTGAGCATGCCCAAAACCTAATCAGATCTTGGCACTACATGTAATTATCCCATGGTTACACAAACAAAAAGGATTTTACCATTTGACGTCAGGATGGCTGACAGGAAGTAGGTATCAAGTCAAAATAGTTTTTACCGGATCTGCATGTACTTGTAAGTTATCCAAGAAAATTTGTGGGTGATATCACTAGCAGTTTTGGAGAAAACTGTCGGACATACAGACAGAAGTACAGACACAGACAGACGAATGCACCTAAATGTACATGTACGTGGTGGTGCACTATGTGGTGGGGACATAAAAACAGTTATTTCCAGAAACTGTTTTACTGTATTTCAATTTGAGAGTGGTAACTTGACCCATGTCTTGAGACATCACCCATTATAAACATGCATCAAGTCATGCAATCTTTGGGAAATGGTGAGCAGTCTCATTCGGAGGACCTGGGAGACATTCAGAACTACAACCTCTGCATCTTCTGGTGTTACCTTTTGTACCTACCTTGAATAGGTTGTCCCAGCTAAATAGACCTGCATCTCTCTTACTTTTACACTTGTTTTCATGGTTACGATTCAAACCTCTGATAACCTCTGGACGATGGAGTATCTGGCTAAGTTTTTCAATAGCTTTCTAAACAAACATAAAAATGAAATTGTGTTATGCTACAAATGAGACTGTTCATCAAGATGTTAAACAGGCTTGAAATAGCAAAATATGCTTTTTTATCTGCACGACCATAAAATTTTTTCAAAGAAGCAAACATAATACAAGTAAACAACTTGAGTAAAAATAAATGCCTGATTATTGATCAAAACAGATACATGTAAATCACCAAATCACAATGATATCCTCGGGGTTTTCTAAATATGGTGTTAGGGTTAAGACATACCCCAAAAGCATAAGACTCAGATTTTCAATCTGGAGTCTAATAATCTATACAATAAATTAGCCAATGGGATGATAACTATCAATTGTACCTTCCTGTCAGTTAACCTCTCCAAGGTTGATGGTGTACAGCAGGCTTGAACCTCAAACAGGTCAGCATCTGACATCTTTACACAGGCAAGATTCACTGCATTGATCAGCAACGTACATGTATAGCCACTTTGAATTTCAGGCTTCCCTAGACTAAAGTATTAGGAAATGTCATTTTTAGAACAAAACTTGATTGAACTACAGAAATCCGAATTATCTCTCAATTACTATGAACCCCTGTGTCCTGAAGCTTTGCATATGACATGGGGGGAGAGGGGAATCCCAAGAACTATAATCTGAACTGCATGACTACTAAATTACTCAGATGGGAGTAGGTAGCTACCAATTTCACCACCAGGTGGCTGATTCAGGGGAAATAACATGGCAGGGTATTACAAAATTCCCTTAAACTTGAATAATCATCAGTTTTACAGGTTCACTTTTCATATTACCCTTATGTATCTGATAGTTATACAAAATGTCCAGTAGAAGAAAATATTATCTGGAAGTTTCATTTTTTCAAGAGAAAATTTACAACTAAATTGCCAAATGAATAGGAACAGGGCATGGCAAAATATGTTAGGTCATCTAGTATTTTTTTTGAACTGATACCCTTCTAAGATATGAGATCTATTAAAAAAGGTGCATCGTCACCAACGTGCAAAAGTCAATGTTTTTGCTATAAATCAGGCAACAATGGTCTACACGACCTGTAATAAATAGGTATAAGGGAAGTTGTTATCACAATACTTATGACATTGCTCACTTTATAAACTAAGTTTCCATGCATTATACAAAAAATAATTGACATAAATTAATTTGGGATGGAGGGGGGATCGGATGGAGGGGGGAATAACATGTATATAAGACATGATAAGACATGCTAATTGAATTTATTCCTATGACTCCAAATTTTCCCATTTTTCATTCTCCAGAGATATAATATCCAGTTTCTTACTGGGGTACTGAGTTTAGTTTTTTCAGATACACGAGATCTTGTGAATTTGTTCCATTGTAAAGATATATAAATCCCCCCCCTCCATCTGATCCCCCCTCCATCCCAAATTAATTTATTTCGATTATTTTTTGTATTACTCATGGAAACTAACTTTAAAAAGATATACAGGTAGCTTATTTTCTGAAGCTTTTCATGTGAAACAGCCTGTTTTCTGAAGCTTTTAATATGATATAAATGTAGCCTGTTTTCTGAATGTTTTCGTATGATAGACCCTGTTTTCTGAAGCATTTCATACAATAGCAAAATTTTCCTGATTTCTGAATACATATAGCTCTCAGATTTTTATCTTTTTGAAAAAGTTATGCACCAAAAAGACCTAAAACATGTAAAAGTACAATGTATTACGAAACATGTAAGATCAGTACAGACTTAAAAGTTTTGAACTTTTATTTTGCAATTTCCCAAGGCATTCCCACATTAATATGCACAGTTTATTTCAATTAGGTTATATGTCAATGAATCCCAATGAACACTATATTCATGAATCTGTATATGGCAAAATGTACCATTTACTCTACCCTTGATTAAATTGACACATATCAAAAGACACACATGTGAGACATATCAGAATTCCCACTAATTTAAGCATTTGGGTGACTTTAAGGTGTTCATATCTAGATGAATCAGCACAATATTGACAATTGCTATAATTGTGATGCATGTCCGAATATAAAACAAAATCACACAATCACTCTGAATGGTCCATTATAGCTGAATCAGCACAATAGTGACGATTGTCACAATTGTGATGCATGTCTAAATATATAACACAATCACTCTGAATGGTCCATTACAACTGAATCAGCACAATAGTGACGATTGTCACAATTGTAATGCGTGTCTAGATATAAAACAAAATCACAAAATCACTCTGAATGATCATTATAGCTGAATCAGCACAATAGTGACGATTGTCACAATTGTGATGATGTCTAAAATATAAAACACAATCACACAATCACTCTGAATGGTTCATTATAGCTGAATCAGCACAATAGTGATGATTGTCACAATTGTGATGCATGTCTAAATATAAAAAAATCACACGATCACTCTGAATGGTTCATTATAGCTGAATCAGCACAATAGTGACGATTGTCACAATTGTGATGCATGTCTAGATATAAAACAAAATCACACAATCACTCTGAATGGTTCATTTTAGCTGAATCAGCACAATAGTGACGATTGTCACAATTGTGATGCATGTCTAAATATAAAACAAAATCACACAATCACTCTGAATGGTTCATTATAGCTGAATCAGCGAAATAGTGACGATTGTCACAATTGTAATGGGTGTCTAGATATAAAACAAAATCACACAATCACTCTGAATGGTCCATTATAGCTGAATCAGCACAAAAGTGACGATTGTCACAATTGTGATGCATGTCTAAATATAAAAAAATCACACAATCACTCTGAATTGTCCATTATAGCTGAATCAACACAAAAGTGACGATTGTCACAATTGTGGTGCATGTCTATATATAAAAGTAAATCACACAATCACTCTGAATTGTTCATTATAGCTGAATCAGCAAAATAGTGACGATTGTCACAATTGTGGTGCATGTCTAAATATAAAACAAAATCACACAATCACTCTGAATGGTCCATTACAGCTGAATCAGCACAATAGTGACGATTGTCACAATTGTAATGCGTGTCTAGATATAAAACAAAATCACACAATCACTCTGAATGATCATTATAGCTGAATCGGCACAATAGTGACGATTGTCACAATTGTGATGCATGTCTAAATATAAAACACAATCACTCTGAATGGTCCATTACAGCTGAATCAGCACAATAGTGACGATTGTCACAATTGTAATGCGTGTCTAGATATAGTAAAACAAAATCACACAATCACTCTGAATGGTTCATTATAGCTGAATCAGCGCAATAGTGACGATTGTCAAAATTGTGATGCATGTCTGAATTTAAAACACAATCACTCTATGAATGGTTCATTATTGCTGAATCAGCACAATGTTACGTCTATATTTGGAAGAATCACACTTTGAATCATCATGACGCAACGAACGAAATGAATTTTGAGAATGCCTCGAGAGTTTAATCGATCATCGTAGAACACATCAGATCACGGAAGTCCACAGTGAGAGATGATTATCTTTCAGATCAGAGACATGTATTAAAGAACGATGCACGATCGTTGATGAGGTCTGACTCGGAGAATGTTTGTAGAATCGTTATGAATCACTGACTCATAAAGTTATACTTTTGTAGACTACCGCGCCTATCTATGCTTGCACTCTTCTCACTCGTTGCTTTTTTATTTTTATCTTTAGGTTGTAAGAGGTTGATTTTGGGAGATATGAAATAAAAGATTCACATTTACCTTCCATTTATCGCCCAGCACTGGACGAAACTGCCATCAACGCTGTGAAATTAGTCCCCGGGAATTTTGTGAGTATCATAATTTGCCCCGGGATTTTGGGTTTCCAAGAGTTTCAGTATTATTTATTCCTTCCCGTAGCCAGCTTTTACCAGGGGGGAGCTTTTTTCCAGGGGGGGGGAGCTTTTTCACAATTTTGGCTAAAAATCATGCCAAAAATTCTCAGAATGGTGAAAAACTGCATGATTTTGAAAGAATTTCTGGCCAGGGGGGGAGCTTCCGCTCCCCCAGCTCCCCCTCTGGCTACGGGCCTGATCATTCAGTTATATGGATACCACTTAAACCCATAATTTTGCGAATTAGAGATTGGAATTTCATGGTTATTGATTTTGTGAATTTTCCACTAGAGCTCACGAAACGAACATAGCGGCCTATGCGAAACGTGGGAGTAGGCCTACAAGGCCAATGTTTTGTTTATGGTTTGGTAGGACCTAAAAATAAGGGTGCAGTCTGAGGCTCGGGTATACAATCATTAATAAAAAATCAGTATTATTCTTATTCAATCATAGTAATATAGTAGGCAGTAATATACACTATTAGCACATTCTTGGCTACATGTATACAAAATTTCGAAGAATATAATTAAAGTGTAGGCTTAGTGTCAGAATCGCAAAAATAAGGAAAAAGTATACACCACGCATTACCAACTCAGTACACTAGGGGACTTTTTAAACATTTTTAACGTATTCCTGGGCCTCAGGGTGCAGTAATGGAAAAATACATGTACATATGTTTTTAAATCGTTGGGATTTACAAAATGTTGTAAACCTCAACATTGTCAAGTGTTTTAACTTATTCGAACACGTCAAACTTATGCAATATAGCCTTATGTTTGAAGATTAGTGTAGTAGTACTCCACAAATATTAGAAAACGACCTATTTTCTGCCATTAGATTACATATTTGTAATGACCCAAGGGCGCCCGAGGAAATGACTTACTGTAGTTAAAATCCCAACTGGCTCTAGGGAATGGATATGGTAGGCCCGGGGGTTCACTCCAATACCTCTTAATACCTATGTGCCGCGCCAAAGACCGCCTTTTTGAGCATTTTTTCCATGTCAATTTCCTCTCAAGATTGAAAGTTTCCATGTATACTTCCTCTCGGACTTATAAAAGGGGGTAAATTTCCTGAAATATTGGTCCATAATTATAAAATCAACTTTTTAGGTGATTTATCCCTTGCCAACTGATTTTACCATGGTTTATGCCCTTAGCCAAAATTGCCCCTGCTGCACATATTTAGAGTGGACCCCCGGGATGGTAGGCCAACTCTGGTAATTTTATTGAAAGTTTATTAGGTTACATAAGGTTCGAATCATTTAGTTATTCATTTAAAAGACATACTTGCTATTTTTCATGTGATAATTTCATATTATTTGATACGTGCAGGCATCGGCTTTAGAAGGTCCTTATGAGTCCAGACTATATTAGGCTACATTTTTAATACAGCCATCTCTTGTCAAATATCTGAGTAAAATAGTTTTCGTCTTTTTAATTTGGAGTATGTTTTAAATGTCCTATACAAAACCTAGAAAATTCATCTACTATTTTTCATGACTTTCAAAGTTGTTTTAAGAGATTCTTGAAAAAACGTTTTTGAAAAAAGTTGTCAGCTCTTTACTTCTCAAATATTTAAATTCCCCGCAATTTTCAAATAAAAGTTGAAATTTTTATCGTCAAATATTCCACTACTGTATATAGTGCAAAACACATTATCTTTTTAACACCATTGCACATGCAAACATCTTTTGAAAATCTATACTTTTTGAATATGCTAAACTTCAGAAATAAATCAATGTTGATTGTGTAACCATGTAGAAAACTTCGGAAGGAAAATATGTCCCCAGGACATATTTTCCAAGGATATTCCTAGGAAAATACGTTCATCTGACTAATCTATTATGGACGTATTCAACGGTCACACCGGCTCATGCATAACTGAGTCACATATCCTCCGATTTTCAATCCGGTACTGTCACAGTGACTGTGACCCTTGAATACCGAAAGCCCCCATATAACACCTTCAGCTTAATTTCAAAATGTGTTTTTTGGAGCAGTTTTTGTGAGAAAAATCGTGGATTTATTTAAAATCAAATCTTAGAGAGCATCTTTTATTAAGCGAGTTTACACCAATGCATAGCATGGTGACAGGTCATCTCAACCCCAAGTCATCTCAACCCAGTCCAACTCAACCCCAAGTCAAGTCAGCCCCACGTCAAGTCAACCCCAGTAAAACTCAACCCCAAGTCAACTCAACCCTGTAAAACTCAACCCCAGTAAAACTCAACCCTATTCATTTGTACAATGTCTAAGTTATTTTTTTATGATGAATAATTCAAGTCATTCATTTCTGAAAATCTAGCATTTTGCATGATACTTTGAATATAATGTTGTAAAGGTATTCCAAAAAACAGTTAAGCTCAAGGATAATTCATCAAATTGTCACTATTATTTAATGTAAGACATCTTTTGAAATCAAATTTTAGATAATTTAGAAATAATTAAGCATACAGGCGTAGCCAGGAGGGGTGCGCACACACCCTCCCCCCAATTTTGAAGGAAGTTGCATCATTTTTTGTCAAAACATATCTTTTTTTGGCTCGCTTATGCCACGATCGGCACCCCCTGGGATTTGGAAATAAAGTCAAGTTATATTTTCATCAATATCATGAATATTATAAGTAGGTTATGTAAATAAAAATTCAAATATAAAGAGGAGGCAGGGAGCTAAGGTTGCCAAACTTTTGGAGGGGAGTGTATTTGCCAGAAAGACGAGGGGATTGGCCTTCCACACGTTTCAAATAGTGTGTCTAAAAAGGAATTGACAGCATTCTTTAATGAGATAATAAAATGTCCATTTCTCAAAAACAAATTAAAGTTTACAATGATTCACAAGTTCTATATGTTTTCATTTCTCAAAACATTCATGATTCTCGTCATTAATAATAAAAACAGCGGAACGGTGATAGAAAGTGGAATGTTTTCAAAGTTTTTATTTTCAATTCAAAGAAAGAACTAAAAGGTTTTCAGCATTAGTTGTTCTTTGTTGCAAGGCATTAAAAAAGAAATCGTTTAATGTCTAGTAGAGCCTACAGAGCACAGTGGATATATTGTTATTTCAATTTGGTCTTTTTGGAATTTCAGCCTATGTTTCATTCCATTATTAATACAATTCTATTTGTCATCTGTCACTTCTATCGAGAGTATTCGTGCAGCCATTACGACTTTTATTGTGCGCCATGATTAAAGAACTAATATTACATTCTTCAAAAATATTTGCTATTGAATATACTATTATTCAGTAACTAACTGTAAATTCATGAGGTCATTATGAACTCCTCTATTACAAAATAAAAATAGCAAATAAAATTCTTTTGATTTGAAATATTTTCAAAAATCATCCGTGAAAGTGTGGGAGCATGTATCAGAATTTGACATGTCTTTGAATGAACTCTAAAGAATGAATAAGGGATGAGGATTTTCCAATGGTAGCTCGTTAAAAAAAATATGTTCCTTAAAGATATGTTATAATTTGCCCTGAAGAAAAGCTGGCTCAATGTTTGTTAACCCTTGATTTGAATTCCATTGAACAATTCATTAAGTGTTTATTTAAATGAATGATTTTGCTACCAGATTTCAATATCTTCTCAGTAACTAAAAGATTCACCAAAAACTATTTCAATGTAGAAAATCAAATTGTTGCCAAACTTTTGGACTGAGGGGTGTAAATTGTATGTATGACAAATACAAAAAATGCTTTATGTGAGGTAAACCGATAAAGGGGGTGGGGGGGGGGGCTACGCCAATGAATACGCCCGTCGAGTTTAGTCTAGAGTCAATATGCAGTTGATCAGATACTATTATATCTGAACACATCCTTCCTAGAGGGATACATTAGCGATCTGACTGCATACTGGTTTGTAAGCTGCAATGCGCGTGAACTTAAGTTCCTGCCTCTGAAGCCGACGCCTAGATTCTCATGGAGAATTATCCGAAATCATTATCCGAAATATCCGACTTGGCAAAGAAAATCTTCGGCAGTCTCCGGCTTTTCTTCATTCTGATACTCAGACCATCTCTGCAATGCACAAGAATGAAAAGGAAACTGAGAGAAGGCTGTGATATCTCACGATGGCTTTTCTTGAGGTATCTTCGGTTGCAAGCCAAAAGTCGACACCCGTAAAATAACCGTCATAACGCCCGTAAATAATCATTTTAACGCCGTAAGTTTACGCCCGTAAATATGGTGTTAAAATTGTATCAAAATTGGACATCTTATATTTATGTGATATCTCTAACACATAGAATAGCGTTTAGCAGAATACATACACAATCCGTGTGATTTCTTGCACGGTTTGTTCAAGTTTGCACACTTTATGTTTGTAAAATCACACTTGTACTTACATGCGTAATTGTGTATGCATTGTTTAAAAATGCCATCGAACAGGGTACACACAAGTCGAACAAATGCTTATGCGGCTCGCACAAACGTTTTTTCCCTTCACAAACCATGATGTGCCGATCACACTCCTTGATGTACCGATCACACACCTTGATGTAACATAAATTGCTTTCTAGAGATGTTCGAGATTTTGTTCTAATTCTCGCGTTACTTTTGCACTGAACGAAATAACACATCAGCGCGGCAAAAAGATAAAAAGATCTAGTTTGTAGTTTCTCAATAAATGGCCACTGTACGTCTCCCACGCCTAGGGCCTAGGGTATCCTAATATATACTTTTAATTTAAAATTTACATTTTATAACATTTCAACGGAGGGTGTCATATTGTAGAAACCAGTATGTAAATATCACGTGACTTCAAATCTCGCACCCTATGTGCAACTTGTTTGTGACAGCCTATGCGAGCGGGAACCACCTTGGTTATGCGAGTTTGAACTCAATGCGTGTGTAAAATTGACACGTTCGTTCGAAATTTACTTTGATCCATGTGTAATTC